GTTTGATGAGGTTGCAGGACTGAGCGTACTGCATGGCTTCCGCCGCTGATCGGTTCAGAGCTGTGAACTCACCAGGCCGGGAGCGAGGGCGGGATTGATCATCGCCCGACCGATGCTCCGCTCGGCCGACGGGCTTCCGGGATGAAGTCCCGACCTCCTGCGACCTCTTGACGGCATTCGCCTCACCGGCATTGGCGTAATCCGTCACCCATCGAAGGGCTTCTTCATATGTACTTGGGGGTGGAGGATGAAATCTTGGTAGAGATAGTCGGCGCGGAGGGAAATGTGGAGCATATGGATGGCGGTAAAATCGTCCATCGGTTCAACCTTCCCGACCGCGGCCTTCCACTTGACCAAGAATTCGGACAAGCTTTCCCCCTCCATCTGCTTGGCCTTCTCCAAGTACATGAAGGGCTTCCTCACAACCTTGGAAGTGACGAACTTCTAGTTAAACTTCATCGCCAGGGTAGCAAAATCGGCGATCGAGCCCGGCTGAAGGGACCTGAACCATTCCGCCGCCCGGTCGGTGAGCGTGGAATAGAAAGCCCTGCACATCACGGCATCAGATACGCCCATCATTAACAGGTTGCCGTAGTAGGTGTTGACGTGGACCTCGGGGTCTGACTGCCCATCATATCCCTTGTTGCCCGGGACCTGCAGGTCGAGCGGGTAGGGCTGAGCCATTATTTCCGCCATGAATGGTGTTCTTAGCAGGGAGGCCGATTGATCGACGAGGGCCTCACTGCGTGCTCGTTTCGGAACCGAGCAAATTTCGCCTGGAGCTCGTTGAGCATCCCCCGGGTCTCAATGAGCTCGGCCGTCTGGGCCTGGGTCGGCTCCCGGGCGCGTCGTCGGCGGTGCGACTTCGACCCACTGTGGCCAGACGATCCCTCCTGGCTCGTTTCCCGCATCGGGGCATCTGCCGAGCGCCGGCTTTGGTCTTGTGGTCCCAATCGCTGGCGCATGGCTGGACGGAGACGCTCGAACGCCGCTTCCCGATTGGCTATAACTTCGGGATTCTCGACCGGGATTTGTGCTTCCGACTGTGCCGCTGGGCCTACCGTGGTACCTTCATGGCCTCAGCACCCTGCGACCCCAACCTCGAACGAGCCGAGCGCAGGCCCTGGGACGTGGGCTGGTGCTGCGGCTCGACCGGGACAGTCGGGTATATCGGAGGAGCGGAGGCTGGAGCCGTGTGCACAGGCATGTAAGGGGGGTAGCCGGTCGGTGGTGGATAGTACGCCTGCGTACCGGGCCAATACCCGTATGGTGGATGAGGGACCGGGTACGGATACTGGCCGGGGTAAGGAAACTGCTGACCGGGAGGTGGATATCCCGGCTGAATATACTGAATTGGCTGCTGGGCGGCCGGATTGTGTACCGGTGGTTGGGGCTGTGAGAGATTCAGATCCACCGTTTGAACCTGATATTGGGTCGGTAAATGATCGGATGAGCTCGCGGCATCTGCTTGCTCGTCGTCATTGAGGTTGTACATGTAGGGATACATGGTGATAAGTAGAACCGGTGCTCGTCAATGATAGCTTTCGTGCACGGGTCCCCATGGACGGCGCCAAAATGATAGTGTTAATTCCACGTAATGCGGTAATAATAAGAAGTTCGGTCAAGTTAAAGCAATTAAATCTTTTATTAACCGAGTGAAGGACCTAATACAATCTAAATGGCTATTCCGAGGACCAACTGGCTGCAGTCGGGCAGCTCTGTAAACAGCCTATCGATCGTGTTCCAAAAGTCCCCCACACTGTAGCCACCGCGGGTATTTATAGCCGTTGAGCCGGAGACACAAGTCCGGCCGTCCGGCAAGTCGCTCACGTCTCCACCATGTGTCTTCACCCCGGGAGCCTTGCTTGGCAGCGCGTAGCACTGCCACGTGCTTCTGTCCAGCCTCCTCGCCTAAGGGCAGTCGATCGGGCAAGAGAGATGTCGGCCGGGCGTCCTACCGGTTGGGTCCGACCGGGTTCTAGTGTAGATATACGGCCTGTAGACCTGCAAAAACAACAAAAACACACGTGGCATGCCGGTCGGGGTATTCCCTACCAATTACCATTTGAATATGATTTAGAAATTAACGTCTGAAATTGATATAAATTTGGATTAAAATGATGAAAAATAAGGATTTAAAAATAGAATCTTAATTTCATTTTTTTTTTGAAGAGCGAAGGTAGATATGGAAATTTGACCTATAAGTATGAAGTATCAACAACAAATGTTTCATTTTCATACTCTTGCTTCTCATTTTGAATAAGCTTAGTAGATGATATAAGTGTGTGAACAACCAGGTAATTGATTGATTTGAGAGTAGTTATTTATGCAAAACCACTAAAAATTTCTTTCAAAGCTATGTGACCAAGGACTAGATTTTCAAAGACGGGAATATGATTACTAGTATCTTCCCAATATTGTAGAGGACTCTTATATATCTTCAAGAACTTTAATTGACAAAATCCTCCATCTTTGGGTTTCCGCTTTCAATCCTTAACTGTACATCTATCGAATGTGAGGTTCTCAAGCTTAGACTTACCAACATCCATATCCTTCCATTTTAAATTTGTTTCAGAGAATCTTAAATACTTAAGATTTGGCAAAAAATTCTCTAGGTTTAGCATCCCCATTGAATAAAGAGTTATATACTCTGAAAGTACGACATCATCAATCACTAGTGTTTCCACTTTATATAAATAGACAAGACTTTCAAACCAATTAGGAGCTTTGCATTTAATTTTATGATGAGTAGCAACTTCCAATGTCCTTAGATTTGGGATCCTCAGGAACAACTCCTTTGTACAACTCCTATAATCCAAACTTCTAATGCTCTTCAAATTATGATGAACCGATCTTGGAGGAACTAGTGTAACGATTCTATTAACATAGAGATTTCTTAATTGAGGTAATCCCCAAATACCAAGGGGTGCACATGGTGAATAATACGTAGTAATAAACATGTAGCTCCTGTAGATTCCGCGACATGAACAAAGGCAGATACTGAATATTTAAACCACAAGGAATAGATAAGTATCTCAGATACACTAGACTCACAATCTCCAAAAAACATATTATGGACATTTATCTCCATACGGATATATTTTTTTAGTTATTATGTTATATTCCATTTATACTTAAAAGTAAAAATAGAAAATTTAAATTTATTCCATTTAAATCAAACATATGTAAAAATATTTTAAATATAAGATCTAAAAATCATTCGAAATTAAACTTATGTTGATGTTGATTTTATAATGTTAATCTAAAAAAATAAATTTGAAAAAATAAGTGTGAAAGAAAAACAAAGAATTAAAACTGAAAAATTAGAAAATAGGGAACAGTTTTCTGTTAGTAAACGTCCTACTTAATTTTCCTCAAATTCAAGGAAAACATTTTTCTAAGAAAACATTTTCCAGTGAACCAAACATGTCGTGAAAGGACAGTTTCGGAGCAACACAAATAAAAACTTACTAATAGCAAACAGAATCTGAAGAACCACTGGGAAGTAATAATCCTCAACTAAGTCTCAAACGTTTATGAATGATACTCAAATGCATCCATCCACAAAAACCTATCACCATTTTCTAATCTCTTGCAATTATTCATACAACACTTATCATGTACTTAATCATGAATAGCATTTGACCTGAAACAATAACATTTTGCTTGCCCTGAAACATCATTATACTATCACTCCAGAAATTCAGAAGATGGTGTTGAACAAAACAAAAGCAAACAAAATTCACAACCTTAAGGATTCCTAAACATCTTGAATGGAAGATAAGGTAAGCTCCAAGATACCACACCACAAGTATCCTTTTCCTATGCTCAACTAAATACTTGTTAAGAAGGCACACTCTCATGAATTCGACTTAACCTGAAACACTAAAATTTACTTGCCCTCTACAAAGACCACCGAGAAGTAGCATTTATCCCTGAAACAATATTTTTTTACAATCACTCCTACAAATACTACTACTCAAACCTAGAGTAGTGTTACGATACTTCACACTATAAAACATTTGTAACCCACATCAAGCATAAAGATGGTGTTGAAAGGAACAGAATCAAACAAAACAGAACTGCAAATTCCTAACCTTAAAAGATTATTAAAATCTTGAATGGCAGATGAGGCAGCTCCATGATAACACAACACAAGTATCATTTTCCTAAGCTTAACAATTAAACACTTGTTTAACAAAGAAAAAAAAACAAGAGCCTTACCCTCCAAGCATTAGATCTAATACATGATAATTTCCTAAAACAGAGTTTGAACTTACATGAGATCGATCGAACCCAAATTGGAGATTAGATGAGAGCTTTAGTTTGATGCAGCAGCAAAAGCCTTTGGTAGTGATGTTGTAGAATAAGAGCTAATTTTGCAGATCAGAAAACATATTGTGAAGTCAACGCTTTATTACTGAGATTTTAGCAACTGATCGGAAGTGGCTATTTCGCCAGCTTGGCGTGGCTCAAAAGGTGCATGGTATGTTTATATAGGATTTTGGTAATGGTCATCAAATAGAGACATCACTTATCTTGGCTCTTGAACGCGACCCTTCTTCTTGATTATCCAATGATGCTCTCAATCATCTAAAAAAGGACTCCTTAATTAGTGCTGCAAATCATCTAAAAATCTCCATTTTCTTCACTTCCCTTGCCATTGAAGATAATATCACCTAAAAGGAGAGAAATAATACTAATAAGCCTTACGCAATGCAATAAATGGTGCAAATTAAGCACAAAATTGGTTAAAGAATGGGGTAAAATGTGTACAAAAATGCACATATCATTATGCATCATTAAAATAGTACAAATTGACACTTATCAAACACTAGAGGAGTCCCACGTGCAACCCTCACATGTCCCTCTTCGCTTCCTTAAACAGAAGTGAGAGACTCTCCAAACATAATATGAACAAATACAGTGACAATGGGTCCCCATTAAACTGCCATAACACCATTTACTAACACATTATATTTCATTGTTGAGATACATACCGTAATCAACATCAAACAATCCTCCTCAAACCCTAGCTTCCAAAGCATGCACTCCAAGAAGCCACCCGGCTGCCCAGTGCCCACCCTACTCTCACCTTTAAATAACTAGTGGGCCTGAAGAAAAATGAAAAAGAAAAGAAAGTGAAAACTTAGTCATTATGAAAGTATAAAGGGAACACCTTAAGAATCATAGTTTGATGTGTTGGTAAAACCTTTGGGCAACATACCATTTGAATATGGTTTAGAAATTAATGGTTGAAATTGATATAAATTTGGATTAAAATGATGAAAAATAAGGATTCAAAAATAGAATCTTAATTTCAATTTTATTTTTTTTTGAAAAACAAAGGTAGATATAGAAATCTGACCTTTCAACAACTAATCTGTGATTTTCATACCGCTGCTGCTCTTTTTGAATACGCTCAGCAGATGATACAAGTGACTCCCAACAAAAATTTAAATCGATTGATTTGAGAGTAGTTATTTCTGCAAAACCATTAGGAATTTCTTTCAAAGCTATGTGACCAAGGACTAAATTTTCAAGGACTGGAAAATGATTACTGGTGACTTTCCAATATTGTAGAGGACTCCAATATATCATCAAGAACTTTAATCGACGAAATCCTCCATCTTTGGGTTTCCATTTTCGACCCTTAACAGAATTATCCAATGTGAGGTCCTCAAGCTTAGACAACTTACCAATAACATTCATATCCTTCCATTTTAAATTTGAATCAGAGAATCTTAACTTCTTAAGATTTGGCCAAAAATTCTCTAGGCTTAGCATCCCCATAGAATAGACAAGACTTTCAAACCAATTGGGAGCTTTGCATTCAATTTTATGATTACCAGTAACTCTCAATGTCCTTAGATTTGGGATCCTCAAGAACAACTCCTTTGTACAACTCCTATAATCCAAACTTTCAATACTCTCCAAATTATGATGAACCGATCTTGGAGGAACTAGTGTAACGGTTCTATCAACATAGAGATTCCTTAATTGAGGTAATCCCCAAATATCAAGGGGTTCACACTGTGAATAATCATAAACTTGTAGGTCCTGTAAATTCCGCAACATGAACAAAGGCAGATACTGAATATTTAACCCACAAGGAATAGATAAGTATCTCAGATGCACTAGACCCACAATCTCCAAAAAAATATTATGGACATTTATCTCCGCATTGACTACTTGTAATGCCCTTAAAAACTTAAAATGTGCAAGCACCCCCACCCGTCTTGAAGGCCTGTCAAAACAAATTCTATCAATCAGTGAAGAAGTGTTGGTAGTAGGAGTTATACTGTTGTAACTGCAAATTCTTGATTGGATGCTCCATGGTTGAGATATATGGGAAGAGTTTATTGATTCATTTCTCTTCCACCTCAAACTTGTACCATAACCCTTCTCGAAACATAAAAGATTTTCTTTTTGGGCTTCTCTCAAAGCCAATTCACGCAAGACATCATGCATCTTATAGGATCTATCATTTGTCTCTCCACAAATTAGAACAAGATTTCTATCCACAAGATCTTGTAAATTTTTCCTTGCCACATCTTTCAAGCTCTCAGACCTCAAAACCTTTAGAAATCCCTCTGAAATCCAAAAATTAACGATCTTACTTCTATAAATCTCATCGTCTTCTGGAAAACACCCAAATGACAAAAAACAAAGTTTAAGATGATGAGGCAAGAAGGTGTAACTCAAATCAATGATGTTCTCACCCTGCTGATTAGAATGATCTAAACTCAAAGCAGGGACACATTTTGCAATATGCTCACATTCATGAATAGTTTGGTTGGAGTTTGAGAGGAGTCCAGCAACCACAACAATTGCAAGAGGTAATCCTTTGCACTTCTCTACTATCTCTCTACCAATTTTTTCAAATTCAGGGGACAATAGAGTTATTGATCTCTTACACAGCTTGCTCTGAAAAAGATTCCAACTTTCATTTGAATCCAAAAAACGCAAGGTTTGGCAAAAATTATTACCTGAATCAGCATACTCAGCTACATTTTTTTGCCGAGTGGTCAACAATATTCGACTTCCAGTATTGTCATCCTGAAAACATCTCATTAAATCATCCAAGACAACTGTATTCCAAATATCATCTACTACAATCAAATACCTTTGATGTTTTAGAAGCTTGTATACTTTCTCAGCCAATTCGTACTTGCTAGCTCCATTGTTGTCACTGGCCCCTGGGTCAAGACAACGAAGCAGGCATTGGAACACTTGTGTTGGATTATAGTCCTGTGAGATAGTAACCCAAGCTCGACAATCAAACCAAGAAATGAATGAAGCATCTTCATAAATCTTTCTAGCTAAGGTGGTTTTACCGATGCCACCCATTCCCACAATTGAAACAATTTCTCGTTTTGAGGATTGATGGCTCAGGTTGTCCATTATGGTGTTGAACTCATCATCGCAGCCCACCATTTTGATTGCAGACTTTGAATCACTAACCGTAATGTTGCCGCGTTCTGGCCTTGTAGGAGGAACAGGATAATTGTTGATTTGTGAGTTGTTGGATTGGTGGTATGCATTATTCTTAACCTTGAACATCTCTTTGTTGATGTAAGATGTGAGGCTAATTCCTTGGATGAAGAGTTGACGAATCCTTTGTGTAGCCTGTATCCGTTGTTTCATGTATTTGTTGAGATAAGAGGCTCTCAGTTCTTGTCTGATTACACTTTCTGCTTCATACAACATATTCCTCCTTCTCTCTGCCTCTTGCTCATCATCATCATCATCATCATCATCATCATCATCGCTTTTCCTTTCCCGTCTGAAACAAGATTTCACCTTTTTCTCTATTTGAGACGACACGCGCCCGGCGAGGATTAAGATGTTGATCAGGAGCCGGCATTCCACGTCATCATCATCATCAATGTGTTGTTCATTCTTGCTCTCTTGTTCATCATCAATCTGTTGTTCATTCTTGCTCTCTTGTTCATCATCAATCTGTTGTTCATTCTTGCTCTCTTGTTCATCATCAATCTGTTGTTCATTCTTGCTCTCTTGTTCATCATCATCACTATCTTGCTTATCAACCTCTCTCTCTTTTTCATAATGGTAAGATTGTTTTCCATAGAGAAAGAGTTGATGCTGCCAGCAAAAAGATTTGACCATTTTGTTTATATGAGGCGGCATGCCTGATACTGGCAGCGTGAAGTGCTTCCCTAGGATCTCCATCACAGAATTGAAATCCATAGTTTCTAAGCCGCCTTTAATTGCTTGATTCAATATGGGGAGAAGCTTTTGAGCAGAGTGAAGCCTAAGCTTCATGGATTTCCCCAGGTAAAACAATCTCAATTGGTGTTCTATTTGGAACCTTAGTTCAACCGAGACATCTCTCACTTGTGCTTCCAAAGCTTTGATAGCTTCATCACACTCCCCCACTTTGAAATCTTGTTCAAGAGAGGCTTGCAAAGAAGAAAGATTTTTATAAAGTAATCTGACCTTTGTTTTGTTGCGAAGAGGGAAAATGGGTGTGGGTTGGAGGAAGTGTTGATGGAGTGTGTCCATTAAAATGGTAACAGCACCAAAAGCCGCCATAGCCAGTGATGTTGCAGATCGAAGAGGTAATTAAGATGGATTTTGCAGAGAGGATAGAAAGTTGAAATTGTGGAGATGAGAAGAAATGAGGGAGCTAGGAATTTTTGCAGACCAGAGTATAGGATAAACACAAGAAATGAGGGAGCTAGGAATTATTGCATCTGAGTTGAAGCAACTAATCAAACAAGCAGCCAACAAGTCAAAATTAAGAAGCGGATTAAACAATTGTTTGGCTGTCCCTTAATCACCCAAAACTATGAAACAAATTCTTTGGCTGCCCCTTATATTATTCTTCTGCCGAAATCAAAAGACAACACACCATTTTGCAGCAGCTTAATTTTATGGTTTCATCTCTTTTAGCATGTGAAAACGTTTCCACATTTTTCATCAACTTTTTCAGACCTTGATAGTGATTAGAAGATAATATAATTCCCATTAAGAGTTCTCCCTATTCCCTTCCCCATTGGGATAGATAATCGAGTTTTCCCTTGAGTCCAAAGGTAATGAATGGTCATCTCTACACATTTGTCTTAATAACTCTTAATAATTCAGATTTTCTAGTATAGTACGTATTCTTGAATAGTAAATAAGTTGAGTCAAGTTTTATTAATAGAATTTGAGTGACACATCAAATAAAACGGAAAGAGTATATAACAAAGAAAAAAAACCTACAAAAGCAATTATGCCCAACAAATAATAATGTGCATTTTGTACCACATAAAATGAGACGGAAAGAAGTACATCTCTATTATTTACCTAATTATGGTATCACATAAAATTTTAAATGACTCTACCGATGTTATATAAATACTATACACCATCAATGAATCACAATAATGTCACATGCATCATTAAAGGAAAAAGCCAATTTTGATCAAAATACTTTATATATAAATTTACATAATAACTTTTTAAAAATTATTAAAATTATTTAATTAAAAATAAAATTTATTTTTCCAATAACACTACTAAATTAAATAAGTGAATAATAATGCAAGTGGATGAACAAGAAACGTGTCTTCCTTTCACATGGCCCATTGGTGCATGTTTCTTGACTTCTTGTTCATCCACTTGCACTGCTAGTTGTTTTGTTTTGTTTTGTTTTTTTTTTTTTTTTTTTTTGGTGAAAAAAGCTAAATTATCCCCTTAAATTATTTGAAGAAGGGAGAAAAAAAAAAAAAAAAAAAAAAAAAAGCAAGTGCTCCTAAAAAAGACTTCATAAAAACACTCAAATTTAATTTTTTTTTTTAAATCAATGGACCCTTATTCTAATAAATTATTTGTTATAGTGGGTTATTGTTTTATATAGTATAGATTGAAGTGGTATTTTAGTAATAGAATTAAGTTACAATTACCGTAAAAAACTAAAAATTAGTGAATCAAAGAACAATCGGAAGAATGCATGATTTTTTTCATCTCAAATGGCATTTCGAATTTTAATTGCCTTGTAATATGGTTAGTGGCTTAGTTTATTTTATTAATATATTTTTTTTTTGAAAACAGTTTATTTTATTATAATAAAGCTATTAATGTGATGTTCCCCGCCCAGGTTTGTATCCAAAGTTGATTAAATTATAACAAATGGTCCCTTAAAAAAAGAATTTATAACAAATGGAATACGTTATACGTGTTAAATAGGTCACAGAATTATACACAAAATTGTAATTGGGTCATTGAACTATAAAAAAAGCAATTGAATCCCTAAACAATGCAAAATCATGCAATTGAATCAAAAGTAACATGCCTACCTATTAGTTGTTGATGTGGTGGTTACCAAATTAAAAAATATTATTTTAATAATTTTAAAAGAATTATTAAAAAATAAACTTGCTTAGCTCCGTTGGAGAAAGCTTCTTCGTTTTCGGCAGGAGACGAAGAACTTTTCATCTCTGTCAAGGAGACGAAGAGACTTCTTCGTCTCCATGCTAGAGATGAAGAAGGTTTATTCTTCTCTAGGTTGTCGTAGATGAAGATTGGTTCTTAATATTTACAAATAGTGTATTTTTTTTTCATTTATTCTGATTCTCACATATAAGTATATATGACCTCGATTTGATTTTGATTTTGAACCGCCGATTCACGGTTTCGAATCCAATTTGAATTGCCGGTTCAAACTTTATTTTAAAATTTTATTTGTTATTTTTAAAATAGTCTAAATTCATTAATAAATGTAACTTTTTTTTCAATTCGAAATATAAACCAACCATTCCGATTCACGATTTTAATAAACGCTAAATATCGAATTTCGATTCGAAATTGTTATCGGAGTATTTTGGTTTGATTGCTATAGTATCGGTTCGGTTTGAAGATGCAATTTTCCCTATGGCAAATGAAGATACCAGTGGCATGGCAAGCAATGTGGTGGAGCTTAATTGTGAAATCATACCAGTTGAGTACTTTTAGCATGTGAAACGGTTTCCACATTTTTCTTTCTTTTCCTGTGAAACAACACTGGAGCCGTGCCCTTTTTTTCTTTCTCCACCACCAACTCCATTTTCTTTCTTTTCTTTCGTTGTCTTTTTCTTTTTGTTTTTACTTTATTCTTTTCCTAATTATTTCTCCTTTTGCCACCAACTTCTTTCCATTTCCCATCTCGTGTTTACTTTTACAATCTTTAATTTTTACTTATTTTTGTAGGTATAGTCATGAGTGAGGATATTTGATCAATCACAAAGGTATAAACCATTTATGAGCATGTGCATTTTGCAAGGAGACTTTGGAATTCGAAGTACGTGTTACAGAAGTTAACATTAGGTCAGGATTTTCGGCAACCACAAGCATGAGGATAATGAACATATCTTTAGCATGAGGATTGTTGGTTGTCATCACAAGCTAAAGGCCGGTATGAATACGTATGTATGGAGAGTGAAAATTTTGATTTGGACTTTTGATATTCACTTGACGACTTGGGATAAAAAAAAAAAAAAGTCAATAGAAATTGCTTATTATAGGATGCTATTTGGGAACTTTGGGGCAGTAGAAACACTTTGTTTCATTACTTTAATTTGGTGTTCATTACTTTGACTTGTATAATGCTGCCTATAATATCAACCTAATATGGCTCATATGAGTTTGTTTGAAGTGGTGGCAGGGTGGGTGTGTTAAAGAACCATGGGGTGATAAAATCTAAATTTATAATTTGTTTCATGTTGTTATTTAAATAACTAGTAAAGTACCCATGCGAAGCACGAGATAAATATTGTTAAACTTATTGTCCAATTGTGTGAAATAATGAAGATTTATTTAATATTTCAAAGAACATAAAATAAAAAGGCAGTTTTATTTAATTTATTAAAATGTCACATGCATCATTAAAGGAAAAAACCAATTTTGATCAAACTTTTTTTAATTACATAATAATTTTTAAAAATTTATTAAAATTATTTAATTAAAAAAACTGGGTTATCGAACTATTAAAAAAAAACTGTAATTAGATCCCTAAACAATACAAAATCATGCAATTGAATCAAAAGTGACATGCCTACCTATTAGTTGCTGATGTGGTGGTTACCAAATTTAAAAAAAAAAATTATTTTTAATAATTTAACATAAAAAAAAAAAAATTAATTTTACTCTCTTTTTTTATTTTTTTCAAGAATACATTAATTTTTTAAATTAATTGAAAAGTTTACTCAGTAATAACGAGCACCTTTCAAATAAAGGATGTGAGCTTTTCTGTAAATGGAAAAATACATTACTTTTTTTTTCTCACAAGATGACATTCTTATACATTGATAAGAAGTAGAAAAGTTTGTCAAAAGTGAGACAATATTTTCATGATAGAAACAGCAAATTGGCTTTTCTAAACACTGAAAATGTGAAGAGGTTTCATTCAACCTTCCACTATTATATTGAAGTAGCAGTTTTGCAAAATCAATTTCTATCTACAAATTACTTCCACTACTTCATACCTTCTTCACTTTACACCCAAAAAAATATAATAATAAAAAACAAGAAACCTAACAGAAGAAAGAACAAGCCCAAACTGCAAAAAAAAAAAAGTCAGCAGCAAGAGCAACACGCAAAGGAAACATCAATGAGCCAAGTTGTCCTCAAAGAACATGCAATCAATAGTCAGTTGGGCTGGTTCGAATTCCAGTCTGCATTATCGCCATCATCATTGTCACCAATCCCATTGAAGAACGGGTCCTGGAGAAGATCAACAGCCGAAGCTCTTGACCTGGGCTGTCCGAGACACCTCTCAATTAAAGCTTTAACCTCGGGGACTTTAATCTTTTCCATGGCCTGAGGTCTCACTCTGGAAGTAACCTTCTTATATATCTTAACCACATTCTCACATTCGTTGTAGGGTAGTTCCTTGGTCACTATTTCGAGCACCCACATTCCAATGAGTAGATATCAACCAGTCCATTATAACTTTCATCGTATAGCTCTGGTGCCATGAACTCTGGAGTACCAAGCACAGAATGTGCAGAATAACTCTTCCCAACAATAGTTGCAAAACCCAAATCACCAATTTTTACCTATTTTGGCCAAAGCAAAGAGATGAAAAGTGAAAACCATATATCATTTAAGAATTCAGTTTACAGAATACACATCCCAAAAGTAGGAAATAGATGTTGCGGTCAAATCATTTACAGCCCATACACTCTTGTTCTTATTCTAAATCTACTATAATTTATACCTATGGAGTACCTTTGAACCACAAAATTTACTGCCATGACAATTATAATTGGCATTCCAAACAATGACAGAACAACTATTTTCTGTAAAAGGGATGATCAACCAACCAACCTTTTCATAATAAGATACAATATTTACCAACCCTAGTTCAAAGAAGAGATATTTACCATTACCAAGATATTTCATTTTCAGACTCGTCCCTCATTTCCAGAATGGGAAAATAGGCAAATATGATAAGCCCATTCAATGCAGATATCAGATACTTCTCAAGAATTTCATTAGAAACCGTTTACTAAATACCTTTACATAGAAACATAAAAGCCAATCAGTACACATCAAAACTTAATGTTGCTTCGTTTACGAAACTTCAGCTCCCATGATTATAGTTAGTCGTGCATCCCATTCTAATTAATCAGACCTCCCTGCAAATCAAAAGATAACTTTTGCAGACAGAGACAATGAATCATAGTCACAGCATAACTTTTTATGTTTCAAAAAAATTTCTGCTGCTCATTCAACTTCTCTAACTGTAATTAGTGAAACTCTTTTTGAGGTCCATTGTAAATATAAAATATTAATATAAGTTTGAACTTTCCCCAACCATTTAAATGAATAATCATACTCTCACTCTTCCAGGAAAAGAATTTATGAAGGTTATTTTGGTCCAAGGGTGATTTATATATATAATAATTAATATACAGAGTTAAGCAAGTTACGGAGTTATAATTATAATATATACAGACAATTTAAGGACCAAAAAGTATATGCAGAGAAAGTAGCATACCATGCAGAGCTTCATCTAGGCTACCTCCTGGTAAGAAATCATATATTAACAGCTTTGAAGTTGGAGAATTGCAATATCCTCGCAGATTTACCAGGTGTCTATGCTTAATGCTTCCAAGAATTTCAAGTTCCCTTTCAAAAAACCTTCATTAATTTTTGCAATTCTTTTCAAAGCAAATACATTCCCATCATCCATTTCAAGCTTGTATATAGTCGCAAATCCCCCAGAACCAATTATATGTTCTTCATTCGAGGATTCCAACTTCCTGATAATATCCTTTGAAGAGTATGGCAAATCTCCATGGAACATTACAATTGAGGCACCTGAAAGGATAAAATTTTGTGACGATTTTCACTGTCACTGAAGGTAGAGTCTGGAGAGAAAACAAGAGCCACACCTAATGGAGAACTATTATGCACAAATACTGGACCATATATGCCTGCCCCAACAAATTGGGTAAAAACAAAAAGATTGAGAGAGATAGGAAAAAGAAAATAGATTCGGGGAACTGTATGACTTAGCATGCTAAACATAATAGCAAAACATGCCCTGAAATTGACATTCAAAAATTTTATTTGTAGGAAGAGAATATCTACTCAATATGTTTCTTATTTTACTTTATTATACAAGGCTATTAGAAAACCAGGTATATGAAAATGTCCCAGCATCATATGTAACTTAAGTATAAAGCATTACACCAAGTACTGGGAATACATTTCTAATAATATGGGGCTCAGGTGATTCCAGAGTGTTTTAACTTAGAAAAGACAGAAAAAGAAGCATCTGGCTTGTCAAATATTCAGATGCAAGACAAGATCTTTTATATGCATTACACAAATAAAAGGAAAAGTTGATACAAGTCCTATAACTTACATTTGCTCCTTACACATGCAAAGCAACTCATTGTAAACCTCTGCAATAACATTGACCAATTTGGTGTGTCCTCTTTGTAGCATCTCTCTTCAAGACACTTTGCAATCTGATAAATGTTCCAAAAACTAACAATATGAACAAAAAAGACACAGTGCGTAATTACAAGTAACCATCAACTTCTAAATTTCCTTTAATAGAGACAAGTTAACAGCGTGTGGGTATTTAAGGGAATATAATCATAGAATGAAGTGATAAATTTGGAAATCTCATGAAAAAATTAAAATCTGAACAATCTGAACCATTCATTTTATTTTATTATTTGACGGACATTTTTTAGTACCCATTATAGGCCTAACTTTATTGGCTCTTATTAGTATATATATATAATAGGTAGATAGATAGATAGTAGATAGAAGATAACAACATCAACAACACTACCAACTGTTTTTACCAATTTAGTAAGCTAATAATACATTTAAAAACAAAGCTTACCTGTTATGAAAGTATAAAGGCAGCACGACATCCACCACAAAACTCATTTTTATTCGATTCTTCTTAAATACCTCCTATTGGCCTCCCCTTGGATGAGAAGCAAAACATCATGATCTATAGATTAGAAATTAATCATTGAATTTGAAATAAATTTGGATTATTACAATTAAGGATTAAAATATTAGAATCTTATTTCAACGTTTTTTATAGATAAAGATAGCTAGAAATCTTAACTTACAATATGCACAACTAATGTGTCATTTCCGTACTCTCGCTGTTCTTCTTGAATACGCTTGGCAGACGACATAAACTGGTCTGAACATCCAATTAAATTGATTGACTTGAGAGTAGCTATATCTGCAAAATCAGTAGGAATCTCTTTTACACCGTTGTAACCCATGTACATGAAGGCTAGATACTCGAGGACAGGAAAATGACCACTAGTGGCTTCCCAACATTGTAGATGACAACTAGTCATGGCCAAGAACTTTAATCCATGAAACCCTCCATCTCTAGGTTCCCATTTTCGGCCATGAACAGACCAAGCTCCGAATTTGAGTTCCTCGAGCTTAGATAGTGTACCAATAAGATCCACATCCTTCCATCTTAAATTCGTATCGAAGAGTTGCAACTTCTTAAGATTTGGCAAAAAATTATCTAGGCTCAGTAACCCCACAGAATGAAGAGTTCTAAACTCCGGTTGAAGATCAATGCCACAAAACAACAGTTCTTCCAATTTATATAAATAGGCAAGGCTTTCAAACCAATTGTGAGCTTTGCATTCTGAATGATGAGTGCTAGTAACTCCCAATGTCTTTAGATTGGGGATTCTCACAAACAGCTCCTTAGTACAACTCCTATAATCCAAAAATCTAATCCTCTCCAAATTATGATGAATTGATCTTGGAGGAACTAATGCAATGCCTTCCCTAATAAAGAGATGCCTTAGTTGAGGTAATCCACAGATATCAAGGGAATCACAGGATGAATAACTATGAAGTTCTAGCTTCTGTAGATTCCTTAACATGAACAAAGGTAGAGAATAGATATTCAAGTCACAAGCAATTTTTAACCATCTCAAATGAACTAGACCTGCAATCTCCAGTAAAATATCAAGGAATCCATGTAGCACCAATGCCCTTAAGAACTTAGAATGCATATGCAACAGCCTAGTATAGCCGTATATATCAATGAATGAAGAGGTGTTGCTAGAACGAGTTAAACACTTGTAACTACAAATTCTTGATTGAGTATTCCATGGTTGAGATATACGAGAAGAGTTTACTGGCGGAATACTCTTATACCTCAAACCCATGCCATTACCCTGCTTAGAATATAACAGATTCTCCTTCTGTGCTTCTCTCAAGGCTAATTCACGTAAGACATCATGCATTTTATATGCTTTTGATAATCCACCTATTATATTTCTCTGTTCACAAATTAGAACAAGATTTCTATCTACAAGATCTTGTAAAGACTTCCTTGCCACATCTTCTAACCTCTCAAACCTCAAAACCTTTAGAAATCCTTCTGAAACCCAAAAGTTAACAATCACATCTTCATAAGCCTCATAGTCTTCTGGAAAACACCCAAATGACAGAAAACAAAGCTTAAGATGATGAGGTAAGAAGGTGTAACTCAAATGAATGATGTTCTCAGACAGCTGATTAGAATGATCTAAACTTAATGTAGGAATATTTTTTGCAATATGCTTCCATTCATTAATTGTTTTTTTGGAGCTTGAGAGGAGGCCAGCAGCCACAGTAATTGCAAGAGGTAATCCTTTGCACTTCTTTACTATCTCTCTAGCAATTATGTCAAATTTAGGGGACAAAATTATTCTCTCAGACAACACCTTGCAAAAAAGATCCCAACTTTCATATGATCCCAAAAAACACTTGTTATGACAAAAGTTACTACCTGGAGAAACGTATGCAGCTACATTTTTTAGTCGAGTGGTCAATAAGACTCGACTTCCATTGTTGTCATCCGGGAAGCATTTCTGTAAATCACCCCAAACATCTATACTCCATATGTCATCTATAACAATCAAATACCTTCGATGTTTTAGACATCTGTAGACTAGCTCAGCCAATTCTGTGTTGCTAGTTTCATCGTTTTTACAGACCCCTGGGCCAAGAGAATGAAGAAGGCCTTGGAACACTTGTCTCGAATTATACTCCAGTGAGATAGTAGCCCAGGCTTGACAATCAAAGTGAGAAATGATTGAAGCATCACCATAAATTTTTCTAGCTAAGGTGGTTTTACCGATGCCTCCCATCCCCACAATTGAGACAATTTCTCGTTTTGAGGATTGCTGCTTCAGCTTGTCCATTATCATGTTGAACTCATCATGGCAGCCCAACATTTTGATTGCAGACTTGGTAGTTTGCTGCAATGAATCACCAACTGTAATATTGTCGCGTTGTGGCCTTGTAGGAGAAGCAGCAGCATTGTTGTTTTGTGAGCTTTTGGATTGGTCTTTTGCATTCTTGAGCTTCAACATCTCTTTCTTGATGTAAGATGTGAGCTTAATTCCTAGCGTGACGATTTCACGAATCCTTTGCCTAGCCTCAATCCGTTGCTTCATGTATTTATTGAGATAAGATTCTCTCAATTCTTGTCTGATTATACTTTCTGCTTCATACAACATACACCTCCTTTGTTCATCCTTACTCTTTTGTAAACCCTTTTTCTCTTGCTCATCCTTGATCTCTTGTTCATCTTCACCCTCCTCTTCATCCTCGATCTCTTCTTCATCTTTGCTCTCTTGAGTCTCTTCTGCATCCTTGCTCTCTTCTTCATCTTTGCTCTCTTCTTCATCCTTGCTCTCTTCTTCAGCATCACTCTCTTCTTTTTTATATAAATTTTTGTAATAGATGTTATGACGATAAAAGATAGTATGATGCTGTGTGCAAAAGGATTTGACCCTTTTCTTTATATGAGCCGGCATGCCTGATACCGGCAGCATGAAGTGCTTGGGTAGGATACGCAACATAGAATTGAAATCCATAGTTTTCATGTCTTTAATTGCTCGATTCAAGATTGGGAGAAGCTTCTGAGCAGAGTGAAGTCTAACCTTCATGGATTTCCCTAGATAAAACAATGTCAAATAGTGTTCAATTTGGAACCTTAGTTCAACGCAGGCATCTCTCAGTTGTGCTTCCAAACCTTTGATTAATGCTTCATCGTACTCGCCCACCTTGAAATCTTGTTCGAGAGAGGCCTGCAAAGAAGAAAGATTTGTGTGAAGAGAAGTGAGCTTTGTTTTGTTGCGAAGAGGGAATGGAGGTGTGGGTTGGAGGAAGTGTTGGTGGAGAGTGTCCATTAAAATGGTGACAGCAGCAAAAGCCATTGCAGGTGGTGCTGTAGAAGAGCTAATTTTGCAGAGAGTGGAGAAAGTTGAAATTGTGGAGATAAAGAAGAAATGAGAGAGGTACAGGAAGCCAGGGCAATATTTGCAAGAAAAAAAATAAAAATAAAAATAAAAATAATAATAATAATAATAAAAATAAAAAAAAATAAAAAATCGGTCCCTCAAGTTTTTGACATAATGAGACAGCTGAATCAAAATATCTTTTATTTATCCGTATTATAATAATTTTATCAATACATACAATATTCTTGACATTGACATATATTTAGCCCATAAAAAAATCTTATCTTTATACCACGATTGAAAAATTGTTAGGCGTTAATCTTATCTAATCGGTGCCTAGACAACCTAGACTGCACTTAGGAGGTTTAGGCGATCAGTGCCTAAACGGCCTACCCGACCAACCACTTAAACCACCAAAGGATCACCTACCCGATCAGCCACTTAAACCACCAAAAAATGTTGGCACCTAGGTATCGATTAATCAATATTTAGGCAGGATTTCTACCATACTAATTTATATGTATTGATGGATATATTACGAGCGGAGCATACCGACCCGTGGAGGTGGAGCAAGACCCGGAGCCCCGACCCGTGGGGCCTCGGCCCACTGGACCTCGCCCGAAGCTGGTGCCAACCTGGAGGGGTCAGCCATCGACGGCCCGACCTGGAACCGATCAAGAGGACGCAGTCAACACGGATTCAACCACCCCCCGCTTTATGGGGTGGCGATTAGGGGTGGGGTTTGTATAAAAACCCTCACCTTGTCTCTTTAAGACATCTAATCATTATCCTACATGTTTTATATTAAACAAATCATTGTAATAGCCTATTTACGGCACTTAATACATACGGTCCCTGCGATCTTTACGACACCGTTTCGTGTTATCTATTTATTTATTATTCATATTCTTATCCGAATTTAATGATTCGGGTCCACCCCGGATAATTAAATCCATCATGTATTATAACGGATACACACAATATTCTTGTAATTGACATATACTTAGCCTATAAAAATTAGTGTCATTCGTACTTTTTCATTTTTAAAATTAAAAAAATGTCTTTAGAACATTTTAGCCTATTTAGAGAGTATAACTAGTTGATAATATTAGTTAATTGTATAAACGTATTTAGTAAATTAGTTGTTAGTTAATAGTTATTTCATATAATTTTTTTTCTCAAAAAGTTAATTGAAAAAAGTTGTTTTGAGTAACTTTTTGAATTTTAACATTTTAGAATACAAAAAACTAATTAACCAAACATTTATATTGATTTTTTAAACCAAATCAAACAATTAATAGTGATCAAATAAGCTAAAATTAACTTATATGCTAACTATTTTACCAAACAAGTCCTTTATAAAACAACCAAAACGTGAAAATGCTAACATTGAAAGTTTCGTAGCCTAACTGACTAATAGCAAACAGAATCTCAAGATCCGGGATGTAATAATCCTCATTCCTCAACTAAATCTCAAATGTTTATGAATCATACTCAAATATGTGCCTTCATCCACAAAAACCTATCACCATTTTCTAATCCCTTGCAATTATTCATACAACACTTCTCATCTACTTAATCATTAATTGCATTTGACCTGAAACTATAAAATTAAAATTTTACTTGCCCTGATACATCATTTTACTATCACTCTACAAATACAGGAGATGGTGTTGAAAGATACAAAATAGACCTGCAAATTCATCACCTTAAGGACTACTAAAAATCTTGAATGGTAGATAAGTTAGCTCCGGATACCACACCAGAAGTTTCCTTCTAAATACTTGTTAGAATTGGAATTAACCTGAAACAGTAAAATCTACCAAGACCACCGAGAAGTAGCATTCAGAAGATGGTGTTGAAAGGAACAGAAGCAAACAAAACAGAACTGCAAATTCCTAACCTTGTATCCTTTTCCTAAAGCTTAAAAATTAAACACTTGTTCAACAAAGAAAAAACACAAGAGCTTTACCCTTCAAATGAATTAGCCAAGACTGTAGAAACACATTCCACTTCCAATCAATTAATAAATCAAAGATATCCTAATTACCTACCAACTTAAAACAAAGTAATTGCAAATTGCAAAATCATTTAACATAACATCATAATTTGAAAATTCCATCACTGTAACTTGAAAAAATCCAAAAACTTTAGATCCAATACATGATAATTTCCTAAAACATCAATAAAAATACCAATTCATTTCCCCACCAGTAAACTAATCCATAAAAGGAGCATTTTTTTCCATTATGGAAGTCTAGGAATACAACATCCACATCCACCTTAAAACCCTAGTTTGGTGCGACGCCAATGCCTGCGCTTAGCATTGTACCTGAACAACAAACACCATGATCTAGGGTTTAGAAATTAATCACAAAATTGAAATAAATTTGAATTAAAATTAAGTACAAGAAAAATTAAGATTTGGAGGAATATAGACTGAGGATTAACCTGATGGTGTTGTCGGTCCTCATTCGGATCCAATACGGAATGGGTCGGTTCTGCCTCTGCTTCTTCGCCAGCTTCTTCTTGATCATGAAGGTCTTGTGGGACGGCTAATACAGATAAATGAAGACAGAAACATGATTAGCTACAAATCCTTTAAAAATTTGTATAGAAAAAACGGATAAATCACAGTAGTGTGTTATAGAAAGTCACCATTTTCACGGTCGGTGAAGATCGGAACGGTGAGCTGCTGCCTGCTAGCTGAATTCGAAACCCTAGATTACAAAACTTCAGTTTGGGATTTTATTATAGGCTTAGATAAATGGGCCGTTTGAGGTATGTGGCCTAAGAATGTTTTAGCTTAGATAGGCCAAGAGATGCAAATAGTTATGTTGTGGAATCGTGTCCACCTTTCAAGGTGGTTACGATTCTATATTCATAATTATAAAGTTATATATTCATAATTTTGAATTTTATATTATCATTATTGAATTTTTATATTCATCATTACAGAACTCTATGTTTATAATTATAGAATTACACATTCATAATTTTTGAACTCTATATTTATAATTATGAACAATTTTGGAATCATATCTATCTTGCAAGGTGGACACGATTCTACAACATAATTTGCCAAGAGATCCAGAATGGGCTTCAATCCCCAAGATGAATAGGCCGTTCATTTTAACTTTTTTTTGGTTAGGAATCATATCTATCTTGCAAGGTGGACACGATTCTACAACATAATTTGCCAAGAGATCCAGAATGGGCTTCAATCCCCAAGATGAATAGGCCGTTCATTTTAACTTTTTTTTGGTTAGGCAAAGAAGTCAAGTTTAGCAGCAATTATATCGTGGACCATAGTCCAAAAACAGCGTCGTTTCTTTAAGTAAAGAAATAATTACCGTTAACTTTTAATGGAGTGCGTATTTTTTATGTGGTAATTATAAAAATGAAACTACATTGTATTTAAAATGAAACTATCTCACATATTGTTTTTACATTATCAAATAAAAATATAATTGAATTGAAAAGTACTAATTCCCGGTTATACTTATAGTATGTATATGAACAAAGTATGAATAAAAAAACTGAATGTATATATGAAAATTGTATGCAAATATATGAACAAGAAGAAGGGATGTAAACAAATAAACCCTCTTTATTCATATGAATGTTGTTCTCATTCTTGTAGAGGGAAGGGGGAGTAGTATAGCTTAGAAAGAGGGAGTAGGAAAAGTGGAGAGTCAATCCCCTTACTTAGAGGGCTTTTAGTCCTTTTATATGCATGGTGGCGGGTTTGACCCGTCACCTCTGACTTTGACCTGTGGATCGAGTCCTGCATCGTTAGACCCGACTCAATTATAAACGAGCTCATAGACGTACAGGTGGTCGGTACCGGGGGATATATCTTATCATAAATGAAACTGTAGTTGTGTCGAAATGAAACTGCTGTGTATATAAAATGAAACTGAATAATAGTTTCACATATTTGAGTGTTGATTGTGGTAAAAATGAGTGATGGTGAGTGTGCGGGTGTGTAATGTCGTCCTCATAGGATTGGGATTTATGGCACGTAATACGCAATCACAAGCAACTAGGCACTAGCATAAGGAAATCAACAAGAAGCTAAGGAAATAACAAGTTTCAATGTTACGATAACTAAACAAAGTAACACAAACACATATTAACAAGATATAAATACGAAACAAATAAATAGGACTCAAGCTAGGGAGCATTATCATCTAGATGCTTTACACAACCTAAGGGATTAGGGAGAACAAGTAACAAAGGAATCAAGCGGGAATGCACATAGGTATCCTAGTCTACGAACCATTTTCGTGATTAATAAACAAGGATTAGAACAAAGAATTGCCCCACTTCCGTGACGCATCAATTCCAAGTCCATCAAGCACACAAAGCATCTAAAGTCCCCAATTTCCCCTATTTTCGTATGAAGAAATCGGGTTTATGCAAGGGGTGACTTGGATTCATCACCCAACTCTCTCGAGGCAATGAATCCTCCAAAAATGTGTCAATGGATGTGTACATCAAACATTAACAAGATATAAACACAACACCTTCATAAACACATGAACCCTAGGTAGTGTTCTTCCCATTATGCAATAATCACAAATCAAGCATCAAGATATATAATACAACCTTAACTCAAGTCCATAAACTAACTACTCATGATTAAATAGCATAACGAACACAAAACATAAGTGTAAAGCATAAACATTGCAAAGGAAAAGAGATAAGGGGAAGAAATCTTTACTAAAGAAATAGATGGTAAATCTTGCAATCCAAGTGTTGAGTCCTTGAATACAAGCTTGAAATATGATAAAGAACCTAAATCTACACCTAATCTAACACTAAAATATGAAAGGAAAGAGTAGAAAATAATTAGGGTTCGAATGGGGTTCAAAACCATCAAAAAATGAGTCAAAGCTCAGTTAAAATAGAGCAGAGATGGGGTTCGACGCGCTGAGCATTTACATAATGCTAATCGCGACCTCACTGCCAATTCTCGACGCGTTGAGTGGCACTCTGCAACAGAATATCCGTTTGTATGCTGCTTTTGACCCTTTTGCCTTCCGAATTAGGTTTTGAGGTCTTCATGAACGTTGTAGCCCATCAAGTAT